GAGGCGCCAAAAGCTAGTCTTACAGATTTCTTTAAATATTTTGGTAAATGGGAAAACGGAAAGATTTTATTTGGAACAGCTTTTACATGGTTCGCACTTGATGTAGCTTTTTACGGTATTGGTCTAAACAACAATTCTATTTTAAAACAAATTGGATACATTGGGGATGGTAGTGATCCATATGAATCATTATATAAGGCATCTGTTGGTAATATTATCATTGCATTATTGGGTACAGTACCTGGTTACTGGGTTACCGTATTTACCATTGATTTATGGGGTCGACGTCCAATCCAACTTATGGGATTTGGCTTGCTTAAAACATTATTTATTGTTCTCGGATTTGGTTATTATCCAATTAAGAACGCATCTATGGAACTTTTCATATTTATATTTACATTAGCACAAGTAAGTTTTATATTAAGTCATTACAATATATATTATATATATTATATTTATAATTCTCATTAATGAAAATTTGTTTCACAGTTCTTCTTTAATTTCGGACCTAACGCCACTACATTCGTTATACCTGGTGAAGTATTCCCAACTCGATATCGTTCAACTGGACACGGTATAAGTGCCGCATCAGGAAAATTGGGAGCTATTATTTCACAAGTTGGATTTATCAAATTGAAAGATATTGGTGGTTTACCTGGTTCAAATACATTCATCGACCATCTATTTAAAATATTTGCAGTTTTTATGTTTGCTGGCTTAATAGTTACTTTCTTCTTCGTGCCAGAAACAAAGAATAAGTCATTAGAAGATTTATCAAATGAAAATCAAGAAGGATTTATCAATGATAATCGTCCGGCTGATGTTATCAAAGATAATCGTCCGGCTGATGTTTAAATGAATCATCTCATTATTATATTTATAATATTTATAATATATTCCAATCATCATTTATAACTTTATATCATTCCTAATAGTTCATTAAAAAAAAATTTTTTTCGAAGCTTTATTAGAAAGCTTGCAATATACGTATCAGGTATCATGCGTAAGTACGCATGTAATACGTTATTTGTCACATGATCTTTTAGACTGAGCAATTATATACTGTATATCATATATTATATAAATTATACAAATAAAATAAATAATGATACATATGTTAAAACATTAAAAAATTCGAGTGATATTTACATAAATTTTAAGCAATTAATGTGCCAATTTTTTAATATTAAATTACTTTATTATATTTGAAATTACTTAGGCCATGCAAAATTAATTAATTGGTTTCATAACCCGACCGGGTCAAAATTTTGAACCTTCTAAAAAAAATTTTACCAGGAACGTAGTACAAAGTACGTAGTGTATGGTTTACTGGCAAGTTAATGTGTCTGCGCAATTCTTGGCTTCTGATTGGGCCTCGTGACCCTATACATCGCGGATCGTTATGCATTGCCTATTTTTAACATGCCGTTATCGCTGTTC